CAATTTGATTTATGATAACTGGTTCGGCAGCTAATTTGGACCCGATCATGCTGTTTGCCTTATGATGGCTTGGTTCGTGCCTCGAGCACCCAGACTCAAATGCTTTTGGCAGAATGGATCAGATCTCGGGGATTATTCTCAGGCACAGTCCATTGGTGTGGCCATGTAATTTGGATGTTTCGGAATTGAGTAAACTAACAGACTCAAGGTAGATGTCACTAAGATCTGCCTGTCCCCAAAACAATTGTGTTTATCTGAATTTGGCTCCCTGACTGGCCTTGACAGGCCATCTTATCTCAACCCATCCATCCATCCATCCATCCATTTTCTTCCGCTTATCCGGGGTTGGGTTGCGGGGGTAGCAGCCTAAGTAGGGAGGCCTAGACTTCCCTCTCCCCAGCCACTTGGGCCAACTCTTCCGGGGGAATCCCAAGGCGTTCCCAGGCCAGCTGAGAAACATAGTCCCTCCAGCGTGTCCTGGGTTTTACTCTGGGTCTCCTCCCGGTGGGACGTGTCCGGAACACCTCACCAGGGAGGCGTCCAGAAGGCATCTTAAACAGATGCCCAAGCCACCTCAACTGGCTCCTCTCGACGTGAAGAAGCAGCGGCTCTACTCTGAGTCCCTCCCAGATGATCAAGCTTCTCACCCTATCTCTAAGGGAGAGCCCAGACACCCTGCGGAGAAAACTCGTTTCGGCCGCTTGTATCCGAGATCTCATTCTTTCGGTCACAACCCAAAGCTCGTGATCATAGATGAAGGTAGGAACGTAGATCGATCGGTAAATTGAGAGCTTCGCCTTTTGACTTAGCTCTCTCTTCACCACAACAGACATGTACAGCGCCTGCTTCACTGCTGACGCTACACCTATCTGCCTATCGATCTCACGCTCCATTCTTCCCTCATTCGTGAACAAGACCCCAAGATACTTGAACTCCTCCACTTGGGGTAGGACCTCCTCCCTGACCCGGAGAGGGCAGTCTACCCTTTTCCGGCTCAAGACCATGGCCTCGGATTTGGAGGAACTGATCTTTATCCCGGCTGCGTCGCATTCGGCTGCGAACCGCTCCAGCGAAAGCTGTAGATCATGATCTGATGAAGCCAATAAGACCACATTATCTGCAAAAAGCAGAGACACAATCCTAAGGCCACCAAAACGGATCCCCTCCACACCTTGGCTGCGCCTAGAAATTCTGTCCATAAAGTTATGAACAGAGTCGGTGACAAAGGGAAACCTTGGCGGAGTCCAACTCTCACTGGGAACAAGCCCGACTTACTGCCGACGATGTGGACCAGGCTCTGACACCGGTCATACAGGGACCTAACAGCCTGTATCAAAGGGCCTGGTACCCCATACCAAGTCTTCTCCAAGTCCACAAAGCACATGTAGACCGGTTGAGCAAACTCCCACGCACCCTCCAGGACCCTTCTGAGAGTGTAGAGCTGGTCCAGTGTTCCACGGCCAGGACGAAAACCGCACTGCTCCTCCTGAATCCAAGGTTCGACTATCCGACGGACCCTCCTTTCCAGAACCCCCGAGTAGACCTTACCAGGGAGGCTTAAGAGCGTGATTCCCCTGTAGTTGGAACACACTCTACGATCCCACTTTTTGAATTGGGGGACCACCACCCCGGTCTGCCAATCCAGGGGAACTTCCCCTGATGTCCACGCAATATTGCAGAGTCACGTAAGCTAACACAACCCTACAACATCCAGAGCCTTAAGGAACTCAGGGCGAATCTCATCCACCCCTGGGGCCCTGCCACCGAGGAGCTTTTTAACCACCTCGGTGACCTCAGCACCAGGGATTGGAGGGCCCGACCCAGAGTCCCCAGGCTCCGCTTCTTCAGTGGAAGACATGCCGGTGGGATTGAGGAAGTCTTCAAAGTATTCCGCCCACTGACCCACGACATCCCGAGTTGAGGTCAGCAGCACACCACTCCCACTATAAACAGTGTTGGTGGCGTACCGCTTTCCCCTCCTGAGACGGCGGATGGCGGACCAGAATCGCCTCAAAGCCATGCGGAAGTCATTCTACATGGCTTCTCCGAACTCCTCCCATGCCCGAGTTTTTGCCTTAGCGACCACCCGAGCCGCATGTCACTTGGACTGCCGGTACCCATCAGCTACTTCTGGGGTCCCACAGGCCAAAAAGGCACGATAGTACTCCTTCTTCAGCCTCACAGCATCCCTCACCGATGGTGTCCACCATCGGGTTCGAGGGTTGCCGCCGCGACAGGCACCGACAACCTTGCGGCTACAGCTCCGGTAAGCCGCCTCGACAATAGAGGCACGAAACATGATCCCCTCGGACTCAGTGTCCCCCACTTCCCTCGGAACATGTTTGAAGTTCTCCTGGAGGTGGGAGTTGAAACTCCGTCTCACAGGAGACTCTGCCAGACGTTCCCAGCAAACCCTCACAATACGTTTGGGTCTGCCAGGTCTGACTGGCATCCTCCCCCACCATCGGAGCCAACTCACCACCAGGTAGTGATCAGTGGACAGCTCCGCCCCTCTCTTCACCCGAGTGTCCAAGACATGTGGTCGCAGATCAGATGAGATGATGACAAAGTCGATCATCGAATGCAGCCTAGGGTGTCCTGGTGCCAAGAGCACATATGGACACCCTTATGCCTGAACAAGGTGTTCGTTATTGACAATCCATGACGAGCACAGAAGTCCAACAACAGAACACCACTCTGGTTCAGATCAGGGGGGCCGTTCCTCCCAACCACACCCCTCCAGGCCTCACTGTCATTGCCCACATGAGCACTGAAGTCCCCCAGCAGAACAAGGGAGTCCCCAGGAGGTGCACTTTCTAGTACCCCCTCCAAGGACTCCAGAAATGGTGGATAATCCGAACTGCCATTTGGTGCATAAGCACAAACGACAGTCAGAACCCGTCCCCTCACACGTAGGCGGAGGGAGACCACCCTATCATTCACTGGGTTAAACCCCAACACACAGGCACTAAGTTGGGGGGCAATAAGTATGCCCACTCCTGCTCGGCGCCTCTCACCAGGGGCAACTCCAGAGTGGAAGAGTATCCAGCCCCTCTCAAGGAAACTGGTTCCAGAGCCAGAGCCATGTGTAGAGGTGAGTCCGACTATTTCTAGCCGGAACCTCTCAGCCTCACACACCAGCTCAGGCTCCTTCCCAACCAGTGAGGTGACATTCCACGTCCCAATAGCCAGCTTCTGTAGCTGAGGATCAGACCGCCGGGTCCCCGCCCTCGGCCACCACCCATCCCACATTGCACCCGACCCCTTTGGCCCCTCCCACAGGTGGTGAGCCCATGGGAAGGGGGACCCACGTCTCCTCTTTGGGCTGTGCCCGGCCGAGCTCAATGGGTAAAAGCCCGGCCACCAGGCGCTCGCCTGGCTCCAGAGTGGGGCCCCGGTGACCCACGTCCGGGCAAGGGAACATTAGGTCCGTTTATTTTTCTCATCATCGGGGTTTTTGGGCTGCACTTTGTCTGGTCCCTCACCTAGGACCTGTCTGCCATGGGTGACCCTACTAGGGGCATAAAGCCCCTGACAACATATCTCCGAGGATCATTGGGACACCCAAACCCCTCCACCACGGTAAGGTGGCAGCCCAGGAAGGGGGAAATTTTGTAATTTTGTAAACTTGATGGCTCTACCCCTCCCTCCCTCCTACTGAGGAATTTCCATAGACTTTTCAGAGGGGCCCAGCAGAATAAACATTCTGTCATAATTTCAGGACTCCTTGGGTTCGTCTTTGGTCGCCCTCAGCACCCCTCGAGTGTGTACGGATCTCTCCAGAGGGAACTTGAACTGAGTGATTTCATCTGAACTCTGCAGTGCCTCTGTGTGTTGTCTCTGGACATGCTCACCACCCTTGTCCCCCCAAACCGTACAAACAGGTCTCACAAAACTCCATCCCAGACACTTGGAAAACAGCCTTTGTTCTTCCTTTGCTGAAGGGAGGTGACCCCACCTCACTGAACAACTATCGGCCAATCTCTAAACTCTGCATTTTAGCCAAGGTTCTAGAAAAACTGATAAACTCTCAAATCAAAAATTACCTGGACTCATTTAACATCTTACCTCCACATCAATCTGGTTTCAGGAAACAACACAGCACAACCACTGCTTCACTGAAGGTTCTTAATGATGTTTTTGAAGCACTGGATGCTAAGGATTATTGTGCTGCACTTTTCTTAGACCTGTTTAACGCTTTTGACACTGTGGATCATAACATCTTGTGTCATAAACTCTCAGAAATTGGTTTCTCAGAACACACCATTGCCTGGTTGGGGTATGGGCTGTTGGTGGGTGTTGGGCCTTTGGGGGCAATTGGGGGTGGGGCCGGTGCTCCGGTTCTCCCTGGCTTGTTCAGATCTTTTGATCAGGGTTGCGATGGTCGGCCCTTTGGCTGGGGTGGCTGCCGGGTTCCGGCGGGGGGTCAGCTATGGTTGTGTGGTCGTTGATGGTGTATGGCGGCAGTCGGGGGCGTGGCTTCGCTTTGACGGGGTGCTGGCTGGTCGGCCTGATGTGACATTCGCGTTGGTGGGTGCTGTGTGTAGGGGGGTGGTGTATAAGTGGCGTGCCGGGGCTTCTCTGGGCATGTGGTGTGGGGCTGTTGGGGTGCCTGGTCTCTAATTACAGTTATGGTAATTGGTCGGTTTTGGGTCAGGCTCAAAAAAAATGATACGGGTCCGGGCCGGATTTTTTAGGCCCAAATACAACTCTACTTTTGGGTACTTTATTTTGTACCCTTATTGCATGTTTTAGTATTTCTTTTTTTGCTGTTTGTTTTTAGTGAGTCAAATCAGTTCTTCTCATCCTCAACATTTCATTGCATTGTTGACCTTGTGCTAACTTTCATATGACAAAGAAACAACATAACATAACAACTACATTTGTTCACAGCTACTCTACATGTAGTCACATTATCTATATGCATGTCCATGAATGGATATGAACTGGCTATTCTTTATGTCCCTAGTTGCAGCCCATTGATAGCAAGCAAACAGGTCTCAGCTGGTGGTGGGGGCTGGAGGCCGATTTCAAGAGAATGGGTTACACTTGGAACCCACTAAAGACAAGGACCAGGGACAGTGAAGGTTGGACACTTCTTAGCTATGCTTTGAAACAACTAACAGATGATGATAATGATTTCTTTATGCTACACTTCCCAACAGATTCTTACCAGTAAAATATAATGTTGGAAATTTAAAGATGCATGCAGATTTAGTGCCGTTTCCTCCACTCCCTGGTGCTGAAGGTCTTTCACAGTCCTTAAACAGAAATGTGCCTATGATTACTAACCAGTGAGGGTTGCAGTGAAGGGACCAGAGGCTGGTAAGGCGGCAGTCTCAGCATAAGATGGAGATGACTGAACTTGGACCTGTGATTCATCTGTCAGTGGTCCTCTCCTTTGGTTATCATCATCACCAATAAGCCTAACAAGAAGGAAAAAAAAAATCAGGGAGAACCATTTGTGTAGACGGAAATTTTAATAGTAGCAAAGCATCTTGTTTTAAAAGATTTGGTTATTTTATGTCTTGTGTTTAGCATTAATTCAGCTGTTGCCTCACCTGTGCATGAAGGCCAATGTGCACTCTCCTCCTTCCTGTGGATCCACATTATAGAGAAACAGCTGACCATCAGTTGTGACTACCAGTAACCGTAGAAGCTCCTGGATCCTAAAACATATCAGTTTATACATTTTTAAATCCCTACTTTTGTTACACTTTCGCAACTACTTTTTAAAGAAAATTGAATTAAGAAAACCTTAATTTCAGTCATGTTTTGTGCCAGAAAACCTACAAACTTTTAAAAATCCACAGAAAAACATCACAGCTGAGTTTTTTTTAACAGTTCCCAAAGAAAACTAGTAACTTTAAAATGTGTAGATCCTTTGGGGGAAACAAAAATCCACATTAAATAGGACTTGCACTGCCATATAGTATGGAATGATTCAACTTTGAACTGTAATAGTCTGTTGCAGTTTCAATATAAAGAGAAACACCAGGAAATAGATTGTTCTAGCAGTAGTTGATTTTTTAATTTTTTTTTTTACAAAAATCAGATAGTAAAAAAAAGTTCTGTCAGATGTAAAGCCGGGAGGTTTGTCAGACAAAGAAGGGAGATAATTGTCAGATGAACGAGGGGAGAGGTATGTCAGATATAGTGGGAAGAGGTTTGTCAGATGTAGAGGAGAAAGGTTTGTCAGATGTAGAGGGGAGAAGTTTGTTAGACAAAGAGGGGACAGGTTTGTCAAACATAGAGGGGAGAGGTTTTTCAGATGAAGAGGGGAGAGGTTTTTCAGATAGAGGGGAGAGGTTTGTCAGATGTAGAGGAGAGAAGTTTGTCAAATGTAGAGGAGAAAGGTTTGTAAGATGTACACTTTAGAGGGGAGAGGTTTGTTAGATGTAGAGTGGAGAGGTTTTTCACACATAGAGAGGAGAGTTTTGTCAGATGAAGAGGAGAAAGGTTTGTCAGATATAGAGGGAAGATGTTTGTCAGATGTAGAGGGAAAAGGTTTGTCAGATGTAGAGGGGAAAAGTTTGTCAGATGTAGAGGAGAAAGGTTTGTCAGATGTAGAGGGGAAAAGTTTGTCAGATGTAGAGGAGAAAGGTTTGTCAGATGTAGAGGGGAGAAGTTTGTTAGACATAGAGGGGACAGGTTTGTCAAACATAGAGGGGAGAGGTTTTTCAGATAAAGAAGGGAAAGGTTTTTCAGATAGAGGGGAGAGGTTTGTCAGATGTAGAATGGGAAGGTTTTTCAAACATAGAGAGGAGAGGTTTGCCAGATGAAGAGGAGAAAGGTTTGCGAGATGTAGAGTGGGGATGTTTGTCAGATATAGAGGAGAGAGGTCTGTCAGACATAGAAGGGAGAGGTTTGTCAAATGTAGAGGGGAGAGGTTTGTCAGATGTAGAGGGGAGATGTTTGTCAGATCTAGAGGGAGCGGTTTGTGAGATGTAGAGTGGGGAGGTTTGTGAGATGTAAAAGGGATAAGTATGTCAGATATAGAGGGGAGAGGTTTGTCAGATGTAGAGGGGAGAGGCTTGTCAAAGGTAGAGGGGAGAGGTTTGGCAGATATAGAGGAGAGAGGTTTGTCAAATGTAGAGGAGACAAGCTTGTCAGATGTAAATGGGAGAGGTTTGTCAGATGCAGAGGGGAGAGGCTTGTCAGATGTAGAGGGGAGAGTGGCAGATGTAGAGTGGGAAGGTTTTTTAGATGTAGAGGGGAGAGGTTTGTCAGACCTAGGGGGGAGAGGTTTGTCAGAGGTAGAGGGGAGAGGTTTGTCAGATGTAGTGCGGAGAGGTTTGTTAGACGTAGTGGGGAGAGGTTTGTCAGACGTAGAGGGGAGAGGTTTGTAATGGTAAATGGTAAATGGACTGTACTTATACAGTGCCTTTCTATCTTATTTCAAGATACTCAAAGCTCTTTACAACACAATCTGTGTCCTCATTTACCCATTCATACAGCACTCTACTAGATCTCTACAAAAGTTTATTGAGCAAATCATTCGAAAGAGACCAATCAGAGCTTTATCACATTCATACACTGATGGGACACACATCTGAGGCAATGAGAGGTTCAGTGTCTTGCCCAGGGACACTTCAGCATGTGACTGCTGGTGGATTCGAACCCCCAACTCTTGCATTGGAGGATGACTGCTCTAACCACTAAGCCACAGCCGCCCCTGTTTGTCAGATGTAGAGGGGAGAGGTTTGTCAGGCGTAGTGGGGAGTTTTGTCAGACGTAGTGGGGAGAGGTTTGTCATATGTAGAGGGGAGAAGTTTGTCTCTCATACAGTTGGAAGGTTTGTCAGATGCACAATCAGGAGATTGGTGAGACATAGAGGGGAGAGGTATGTCAGTGACACTGGGGATCTCATGGCACATTCATGCTTTTATCAGTAAAGTCTGTCATTAAACTTAAAATAAGTGGTGGAAAGACAGAGGTCAAGCATGGTACAGATTTGAATTGTATTTTTTATTGGGGGGGGGGGGGCAAATTAGTCTTATTGATCATTAACTTCTTGATGTAACTTTCTAGTGGTTTTCACTGCTCTGATATGGGTATACAAGTGAAAAGTGAGGTATATTAAATGATACAAGAGTTTTTCCTGGAGCATGTTTAAATGTTGAGCTTTGTTTGTATATATACATATATATACATATATATATATATACATTTTTCTATGCAATTATGTTATTTTTTCAACTGGAGAAGTTAAAATGCTAGCAAAATGTTTGGCAACATTATGCCTAGTATATAACTGAGATTTTTCTGCTGACAATGGGTCTGGGGGCTGCTCCTTCCCTCAGCTACAGAACAAAAGTCCAGTTTCTTAAGGTTTTTAAATCTTTTTGGATTTAATGTCTTGGCTGACTGACAGTGTACACCAGGAGAAATACGGCAACACTATAATCCCATAAATGCACAAAGACTAAACACTGCAGGTCTAGATAAACATACATGGGATGACATAAAGGAGAGTAACTCACATTGTAAGGGTGCAAACATTCTTCAGACCAGATGAGAGAATGTGAGCTGTGGCGAAAGCTCGGTCCTGGCTCATCATGCCAGACACCTGAACAGGGAGGTAGCTGCTGGCTGCTGAGAACATTTTTCCCATGTAGGCTGTCCAGGTGGCAGCATCATCCTCGCCACTGGACAGAGTTAGGAGCTTCATTATCACCTGCTGTTGAGGGCAAAACCATTACACTGTTGTTGCATGTGTGTGTTTGTCAAAACTGTTAGCAAAATATCTCAATCACAAGCAAGCAGATTTAAATGAAACTTTAATCAAGTAATCATTGAAATAATATCTACTAGTAATTAACTTTTGGAGTCAACTGGTTTCAAGACAGTCACCATAGCAAAACAAAATTATCAAACACAAAATTTTTTCATTCAACCTTTATTTAAACAGATAAATCACATTGAGCCTCAAAGACTCATTTACAAGTCAGACCAGTTTGGACAGACAAAAACAGCGGTTAACTGGACACATGTAGGAGTTGGAGGTGAAAAAAATTCCTATCAGACTTTTTTTTTCTTGCCTGAGGAAAAAACCCACTAATATTAAAAAAACACCTCGCACAAACAAGCACATGTTTACATAGACATTCTGCAATCGGACACGAGAGCGGTCAACAACGCTTATAGATGCTCTCAAGTTCACTGTAATCAGTCAATGTCCTCCGGTGAGATCCATAAACGTTCTCGAGATATGTCGAGGAATGGCCAAGGATAACATCTATGAGAATCTAAGAGTTCTGAAATGATGACACAAAGTTTATTCAGCTGGTTCATCTGGTTATCAGTTGGAAATTCCTCAGGGAGGGGTTGGTGAGCGTCAGATCACATTTTCTCCAGGCAAATTCAGATAAGATGGCCTTCAAGACCAGCCAAGGGAACTAAAATTTAGATGAACACACAGTTGTTTTGGGGACAGGCAGAACTTAATGACATCTACCTTGAGTCTGTGTTGGTCAACTCGGTTCCGAAATGTCCAAAATAACATGGCCACACTGAAGGAACGTGACTGAGTAAAATCCCCAAGATCTGATCCATTCAGCCCAAAGCATTTGACTCCGGGTTCACGAGACACGAACCAAGCCATCAAAAAGGCAAGCAGCATGATTGGGTCCAAATTTGCTGCCGACGACTTCTTGATTGTAGATAAACCAGCCAGCCGAATTCAAAATAGCAGGAACCAATTATCGAGAATCTGAAGATCGAAAAATGGCTATAACATTGTCACTTTCGCTGACACTGGTCTAAAATCTGGTGTAGTAAAAGATAAGAGCCATTCATAACTCAAACCCATGGCCTGGACAAGCAAAGATTTTATATAACTTTGACCTTTATTTATGATCTTGACCTCAAAATGATGAAAAGTGTATGCAACACTCTGATGAAGTTCTGTTAAATTATCTTGAGTAGATCAGAATTCATGGGTTGGACAACAGACATTTACAGACTTATGGACAGAGAATACAGGTACTTCTAAAAAAAATAGCATATTGTGATAAAAGTCATTATTTTCCATAATGTAATGATAAAAATGAAACTTTCATATATTTCAGATTCATTGCACACCAACTGAAATATTTCAGGTCTTTAACTGTTTTAATACTGATGATTATGGCATACAGCTCATGAAAACCCAAAATGCCTGTCCCAAAAAATTAGCATATCATGAAAAGGTTCTCTAAACAAGCTATTAACCTAACCATCTGAATCAACAACGTGACTCTAAACACCTGCAAAAGATTCCTGAGGCTTTTAAAAACTCCCAGCCTTGTTCATTACTCAAAACCGCAATCATGGGTAAGACTGCCGACCTTACTGCTGTCCAGAAGGCCATCATTGACACCCTCAAGCAAAAGGGTAAGACACAGAAAGAAATTGCTGAACGAATAGGCTGTTCCCAGGGTGCTGTATCAAGGCACCTCAGTGGGAAGTCTGTGGGAAGGGAAAAGTGTGGCAGAAAACGCTGCACAATGAGAAGAGGTGACCGGACCCCGAGGAGGATTGTGGAGAAGGGCCAATTCCAGACCTTGGGGGACCTGCGGAAGCAGTGGACTGAGTCTGGAGTAGAAACATCCAGAGCCACCGTGCACAGGCGTGTGCAGGAAATGGGCTACAGGTGCCGCATTCCCCAGGTCAAGCCACTTTTTAACCAGAAACAGCGGCAGAAGCGCCTGACCTGGGCTACAGAGAAGCAGCACTGGACTGTTGCTCAGTGGTCCAAAGTACTTTTTTCGGATGAAAGAAAATTTTGCATGTCATTCGGAAATCAAGGTGCCAGAGTCTGGAGGAAGACTGGGGAGAAGGAAATGCCA